ATCTCAGATAAAGTTAGTTTTTCTTCTGCTAATGGTGGTTCTGCAGGTTCAAACAGGCCGTTACAGTTCTAGATCAACGTTACTCCCAAATGAAATTAATCGGTCGACGACGGACGGAAACTAACCTAGAGTTAAAAAAATATGAGTTTGTACCTGAATTTGGGCAAAAATCAACCTAAAATACTTTGTTTCCGCAATTATTTTATTCAGTTCCCGCCCTATATTTGAATTCAAACTTGTCCCGATTTCGCCGCCAATCCTCTAGCCAATAGTAGAGGTGGTTGAAAAGAAGCTTCATTTTTTGCTTTTAGCCCTCCGTCTTCATGTCTTTGAGTCCAACAACTGATAACAGCAGTGAGTTGCGAGGATCCTACGCGCGATAGCAGCACTAGTACCTGCTCACGAATTTTTACATTGACTCTTACGGGAGTCCAGGGTCCTATAGAACTGGTCCCTGGTGCCGCGGCCCATGTGGCCATTCCCTAAATCCGGCCCTGGATCATAACTGATTGGTAGTTTTTTTATGATACGATCATGAGAAGGATGTTTTTAAGGTGAATAGTAGCGAACGGCGATCTGTGCATAGGCCTTTTGAATTCGTCGTCTGCGCTAGGAAACCGAAAGTAAACAAATGCGAACTTCTGTGACGACACCTCCACGAGAGGCAATCAGAGACAAGCTGAATCAATTAATTTTGAGTGATTCTGGGAGACTTACCTGGAGGGGTATTGGTGAATCTCGGGAAACGGGAACTGGAGTACTTTGATGGAAATTTAAAAGGGGATCCAAGCGGTTTTCCCTCATGAAGGTTTTCGAGACCAATAGGACGGCAGCGGAAAACAATATGAAAAAAAGGATCGCGAGCAAAAACTTGAGATCTGAGCCTTTGCGGAGGGCTTTCTTCACTGCTCGCTTCACTCCCACAAATTCCTACAAGCAAAGGAGTAGGTACAATTGAGTTTTTGTAGTTTTATGAAAATCGCTAAATGAACTGATAAAGAAGTTATAATGGAAAGGTAGCTACCATATGTGGAGACTCACACGGTTCCCGCACTCTCTTGCTGCTCAAGTAAAACATCTCAAAGGAAATATTAAAATAAAATTGCAATTGGGTGCTAGGTCATTTTTCCTAATTTTTTTTTTCCTACATCAGGTTTTCCTAATACTTTTTTCCTACTCGTTTTTTGTCCCATTACAGTAAGTCCTACGAGTGAGATGTCCCACTGGCTTTTTTCCTAAGGATGTTTGTCCTAATAATCCAATAATAATTGAAACGTAAACATGAGTAGAGTAGAGGGAAATGTTGCAGAAAGAGTAAAGTTTTCTCAGCGAGCCGAATATAAATAAGGAGGAGGATGAAGCTCCACTACTTACGGGTATGCGGCCACAACTTTAACTTGTAAGGTACCTATGTTGTTTTTTTACTTTCTCGCTCCCCCAGTTTTAAAATTGAATTTAGGACAACTGCCCCTAGGAAAAAAAGGCAGTAGGATATCTCACTCGTAGGACTAATTGTGATGGGACAAAAAACGAGTAGGAAAAAAGTATTAGGAAAAATTGCAGTAGAAAACAATGTTTTAGGAAAAATGACTTGCCACCTTGCAATTGAATGTAATAAAATTGCAATTGAATGCAATAAAATTGAAGTTTTTTTTCCTACCATGAAAAAGCAATATTTGAGGAGTTTGGAGGACTTATGTGCAAATTTTGCTATTTCGAGAAATACGTATTTGAAGTTTCAAAATTACATGGATCCTCACGGCGGAAAAAAAGTTCAAACTGACTTTGTTATACTTAAAAATTGGAATTTGGGAGCGAATTTTTCACAAAACATGCATTAAGACTAGTTTCACATGAAATCATTAATACCTACCTCAAGTTTTTCAAGAACTGCACTTATGCACCATGTCCTCCAAGCCTCTCAGTTTGCACATTATCTGGTAGACAAATGCCGATTTTAAACGATCAATACATATAAAGTGTGTCCCATATGTGAGGAAGGTATAGGTAACTTGCGAAGCAAAACAATTTCAACTTATTTCAATATCATTCCAGATGCAGCCCCTTCAATGCGTGAATAAGCAACATTCACAACAACCCGCTATAACACCAATAATTTTACAGCTTGCTACCTGAATTACAATCTTATGTATGATCGATTATTCTCTTCTTTCGCGAGTTTTGATTTGTCATTGTTTTTGTTTGGTTCAAAGGCCACAAGAAAAACAGCACTGAAAAGTGCACTAATGTCGGCAAAATCTGAAATTTTCGCAACTTCAGAGTATCACACAATTTCGAGTTATCGATCAAATTTTTAAGATGAATCCCATAAATGTATGTGTTAGGGTGTGTGTGTGTCCGTGTGTAAAAATTCAATAATCAAAATTCCCTAATTCATAAGAACCATCCTTTAAACTCGGATGATCCAATAGTAGTCACCAAAATGTTAAAACTCTTTAAGCAATTACATTTAAAAATTTAAGGTTTCCTGGTCCTCGACGTAAATAACCTGGTTGCTGATCTTCGTAATTAAGTACATAACTAAACCAAACTAGGTATTTTGTTAAAAAAACAATGCTATATAAATTTTAGTTGAAGTGATTACTTACTTCAGAGACAAGACTTTCAAAATAGGTACATCAATCAAGGCACTTACATTTTTGAGCTTTAGTATTGTTTCCACACGAGATAGAAGAAAAAACACGTAGGTATTTAAAAAAATCAAAAACTTTCCCACTTACCCTCCGAATAAAAATTCTCCTTGCCGGCCCGGCAACTGCTTCAAATAACATTTTAAAATCGTTGCGAAAACGTTGATGGAACGTTAATTTTGGACGTAACGCCCCGGCAAATTTTTCGCAACCACTTGTTGCCAGTCGGGTAGAAGTTCCACTCTGATGTACACTTGTGCACACCTTTATGGCAATATCACCAAGATAGATTTATAGACTCGGGGTTTTTTTTGGGGAAAAGGGCGCGCTCTTGACTGCATCGAAGCGTCATGACTCACTTACAAACAGTCTCAGTGCATGCGTGCTATCAGATAACTGTGTGCTGTTCAAATGGATTCTACATATCAATGAATATCGACGGCCCAAGAGCAACACCGTCTGCCTCCATCGCAGCGTTTCAAAATTTCCACTCCTTATTCATTTGAAAGCTACAGTCGACTAAATTTCTTGAAAACCTCTTTGACTTTTCTTCTTTATCAGCAGGATATTCCGCAGGAATTTCAAATTATATGGTTGCGTTAGTCTCTCATTGAAAAAATAAAATAGGATCAGAAATTAGATCCGCAATGGAGATACGTAGTTTCGCACTTTCGCCATCAATATACCTCGAACTCGCTCCCTTAAACTTCTGTAATCCCATCAACGCATATCGTTCACTCGAGATTTGCCTTCAATTTTGCTGCAAAAGCAACAGACATACACCACGGAGAGCAAATATTCAAGTTAACTGTTAAAAAAAAACGCTCTTTCATATCGCTCCATTAGCTTCGATTGAACCATGAAACAATATTGTCAACGAATAGGACCGCATTTAGCAGAGAGCAACCAAGCCACAATCAGCTATTGCCAAATTTAACAGGGCAATTGAATTTTTAACAAAAGAACGTTCGTCCGGATTCCTTTGAAAATTTTAAGGAATGTACCTACCTCGCATAATGCAAACAATTCACTGAAATTTGCAAAATATTCCGCTTAACCGTTTTCGTATAAAAAATTAAATTGCCCCGTTAAAATTGGCAATGGCTGATGTATGGCTTGGTTCCTTTTTGCTTAACGCGGTTAAAACGGTACGTGTTTCTTATGTAAAGTTCGGCTTTAGTTTGGCGATCTAGGCTATAAAAATACCGGAAAGCACTATTTCAGTACACCGGAATTGTTCTATGTTCAAAAAACATACGTTAATCGCGCTCTCTAAACTTTAGTACCTATTCCTATTGACGGATCCGGAGTAGGTAGAAGATGTGGTATCCCGCGGTAATGAAGGAAAATCTTAGCTCAAGCGCACAACTATTTGAACTCTGAACTAGGTATGTGATGTGGTATCCCGTGGTAATGAAGGAAAATCTTAGCTCAAGCGCGCAACTATTTGCACTCTGAGCTAGATATGTGATGTGGTATCACGCTGACATGGAGGAAAATCTTAGCTCTTCACTTGCTTCATATTACTGATCGTGAGACTGACGTTTATGAATGTAAGCAGTATGCTCGCAGCGTTGAATACAAAAATTAAGCGCGGAACTATTTGGGCCGCGTACTAAGTATGTGATATTGCATCACACGGATTTGAAGGGGAAAGGTAGATCTTCTCCTGTCTCAATTTAGAATTATTGACGTTTATGACTCGTCATTACGCTCCTATCGTAAAATGTGGAAATCAAGCGCACAACTTTTTGAACTCTGTAGCGTATGACCAGATTTACGTAATTCTCGCCCCTGGCCATCAAGATTTTGCCGCTCCCACGACTTTCCATTTTCCGAAGGGGGGGGGGAGGTCATGCCGACCGTAAATTAAAAATTACGCAACCAACACATTTTTCCATTCAGATTTTCTGACTTTTTCGTTGAAGTGGCATTGAATCGCCTCGTCATGCCGCATCGCCCTTAAGGCGGCAGAGAGTGGCGTATTTTGCGATGCATGGATTGATCTGCAGCCATTTAAGCCTATTTGAAAGAATCGATGGACAGGGTGTTCGTAACGAACACCTTGATAATCGATTCTTTGCCATAGCTTCAAATGGCGAAATATCGATAATCGATCATTCGCGCCTTGACGTATAGGCAACTAACATACTGCGTTGCAAAAAAGTTTATGTGGTCGAAAAAGCTGTACGCGTTCATCGCTCTAAGCTTTGATTGGTGGACCGATAAATCCATGGCCAAAAAATTCTTTGGTCTCCTTTTCTGTCAGTAGAATATTCTATATAAATTTGAAGTTATGATATGATATATGATATTCTATTTTTTCTCTTCAAAAAAATAGAATATGAGCAGAAATCTTGAAATACCGCAACGGAGATACGTTGTATCGTACTAAATGGCCATCGAAATGACGTGAATCCATCCAGTGGTGCCCAACCCGGGTTTTCATACGAGCAACTATTCACCTTTCAAATAGGAGGAGGGTATGCTCGTTTTTTTTTTGTTTTTTTTTTTACCTTCCCCTAAGATTTCCACTTTCTTTCAAGTTTTGACTCCCCTCCGGATATTTCTCTCGATTTTTATCCCTCTTAGCTC